TCGGGCGACCTAGGGGGCCTCTTGGCCCTTCTCGGGCCGTCGGAAGGCCGAAAGTGCGCAAATGCCTAAATCCATCTTGGGCCAGCTTGAGGCCATCTACGGCCGTCTTGGGTGCATTTTGGGCCGTCTTAGAGGCATCTTGGAGCCATCTTAGCCGTCTGTGAGGCCAACTTGGCCGTATTCGACACATCTTAAAGGCCATGTTGGGCCATCTTGGCCGTTTTCGAGGCCATCGAGGGCGTCTTGGAGGCTTCTTGGGCCGTCTTGGGGCCCTCTTGGTGCGGGCCTCTGGGCCGTCATGGGGCCATCTTGGAGGCCTCTTGGGCGATCTCGGGGCAACCTTGGGGGCCTCTTGGGCCGTCTTGGGCTGTCGGAAGACCGAAAATGCGCAGATGCTTAAATGCATCAAAAACCTCGAGAAAATCAATGATTTTGGCCTCCTGGGCCCTTCCTGGAGAACCTCTTGGAGGCCTCTTTGGCCCGTCTTGGAGACCTCATAGGGCCCTCTTGGGCTCATCTAAGGCCGTGTTGGGCGCATCATGGGCCGTCTTGGGAGGCATTTGGGGGCCATCTTAGCCGTCTTGGAGGCCATCTTGGCCGTCTTGGAGGCCATATTGGCCCATCTTGGACGGCCTTCCTGGAGGACCTCTTGGAGGCCTCTTGGGCCGTCTTGGAGGCTTCTTGGGCCGTCTTGGGCCAGCTTGAGGCCATCTTAGACCGTCTGGGTGCATCTTGGGCCGTCTTGGAGGCATCTTGGGGCCATCTTAGCCGTCTTGGAGGCCATCTTGGCCGTCTTGGAAGCGTCTTGGAGGCCATCTTGGAGCCGTCTGGGGCAGAATATCCCACGGCAACCACCTCCGGAAGAGGTTGGAAGAGCCTCCCGGGACCCCGGCGGGACGCGCCGAAGGCCCAGGGGGAGTTCTTTTGGAATTACTCCGACGGTAGGACCCCACATGAGAAGCTGTTTAGCTTCCCCTTAGCCCTTCCCTCCTCCCTCTGGCGGACACTCTCCTCTCGCCTTCTGCTCTTCCCTCTCCTCCTCCTTTTATTTATCATCACCCTTCCCCTCCTCCTCCTCCTCCTCCTCCTCCACCTCCTCTTCATCATCACCCTCTCCACATACCCCTTCCCTCCTCCTCATCCTCCGCCTGCCTCTTCTCCATGTGCACCTCCCCGCCCCCCTGGTCGGGGCAAGCAAATCGATATTCCTCGGCGCCCTCGCCGCCACGGCAATCAGGCGCGCGTTTGCCGACGGCTAGATCGCGAAGCCGTTGGGACAACCCCGCGAGCCGCTGGGGCGCGAGAGCAAGCCGTTGGGACAACCCCGCAATCACCGAGCTAATCGCGGCCGCGCTCAGGCGGGAGGCAGCACGAAGCCCAGCTCTGCCACGAGCTGCTCCGCCTCGGCCTTGGAGCCCACCGCTCTCTTGTCGAACTCCTGGAGCGCCTTCCGCAGGGACGCCGGCGGCCCGCGCTCCAGGAACTCCCGCGCGGGCGGCCGCAGGATCAGCATGTTCCGCATGCACGTGGTTCGGGAGAACATGACGTGGAGGTGCAGCCACCACTGCTCGTCCGACATGCCCGTGCGGCCAGCGTCCTCATCCCTGGCGCAGTCGATGGTGACGCCCTTGCGCAGCGTCTGGCCCTGCGACAGCGTGAATGTCAGGTAGGACGCGTGCGTCAGCGTGAACCCCGAGCGGCGCACAGCGTGCGCCCCCGAGCTCTGCCATGCGAGCTCCTGCCCGCTGGGCCTGAACATGAGCAAGCTCCTCGCCCGCGCCTCGGCCTCGCCGCCGTCGTCAGCGCCATCGGCGCGCTGCTGCAGCACCTCGGCGACCTCCTTGTAGATCGGGGACTCCTGGAAACCGTGCACCTGCAGCCAGATCCCCTGCGGTAGGTAGCGGGGGCGGAAGAGCTGGCCCCGCGCGCACTCCTCGTAGTCCCGCTCGTCGCCTGCGTGAAATTCGAAGGACACGATGGTGGCCCGTTGCTCCTGCACGAGCCCCAACTTCTTCTTCGGCTCCTCCTGCACGGCCGTGAACCGGACCTCCATGTCGACGTGTGCCGGTAAGACGCCGCGGATGTCCCCGGACTTGTGCATGTTCGGAACGTTCAGGAGGCGCCGGCCTGCGTCTGGGTCGCTTTGAATCGTGCCGCACTCGTCTACGGCCTGCAGGAAAACGACGGGGACGCCGAGACGCCGCGCGATTCGGCTGACGATGGGTTACCACCGCCAGCCCGGAGACAAGGGGTTACCCCTGCCCCCGATTCGGCCGAGGATGGGTTACCACCCCCGGCCCGGACGCAAGGGGCTACCTCTGCGCCCGATTCGGCCGCCGATGGGTTACACCGGCGGCCCGGAGACAAGGGGTTACCCTTGCCCCCGATTCGGCCGAGGATGGGTTATCACCCCCGGCCCGGACGCAAGGGGCTACCCCTATGCCCAGCCGCCGCTTCGGCCGAGGATGGGTCACCACCCCTGGCCCGGACGCAAGGGTTTCCCCCTGCGCCCGGCCGCCGTCGCCCTCCTCAATTCCTGTTCCTCGTCCTCCTCCTCCTCCTCCTCCTCCTCCTCCTCCTCCTCCTCCGCCTCCTCCTCCTCCTCCTTTTCCTCCTCCTCAGAGCACAACAGTGACGACAGGTACGAAAACCCGAGGACTCGTGTAGCTGCGGGACCCACCATCATGATGCGTGCCCGACGACGAGGCTCCGTCATTCCCGATCGTGCCGCGAGTGGGATGAGGCACCTCCGTGCGAGATCCCCTTCGATCCTCAAAATCGGTCAAAAAATCTGTCCTCACACCTCCAAGTGGCGACGGTTAGCAGAATCCGATGACCCGCTTGGGATTCGAACATGATTTGCGGGCCCCATAAGGAGGGGCTCCCGCCTGAGACTTCCTCGCAATTCACTCACAGACGAGGCTCCCGCTCGATACTTCCTTCATATTCAAGCCTGAAGAGCCCAAAAGTGACGACAGTTACACGTTGCGGATGACCCGCTCGGATTAGTAACATGATTTGCGGGTCCCATGAGGAGGGGGCTCCCGCCTGAGATGTCCTCGCAATTTAGTCACAGACGAGGCTCCCGCTCGATACTTCCTTCATATTCAAGCCTGAAGAGCCCAAAAGTGACGACAGTTACACGTTGCGGATGACCCGCTCGGATTAGTAACATGATTTGCGGGTCCCATGAGGAGGGGGCTCCCGCCTGAGATGTCCTCGCAATTTAGTCACAGACGAGGCTCCCGCTCGATACTTCCTTCATATTCAAGCCTGAAGAGCCCAAAAGTGACGACAGTTACACGTTGCGGATGACCCGCTCGGATTAGTAACGTGATCTGCGGGCCCCATAGGGAGGGGGTTCCCGCCTGAGACTTCCTCACAATTCACTCACAGACGAGGCTCCCGCCTGAGACGTCTTTGCAATTCACTCACAGACGAGTGAGTGATGACGAAGTGATGAGTGAGTGAGTGGGTGACGAAGGGGATTATGCTGATGATGATGAGTGATGAGGATGATGCTAATGGTGATGACGATGGTGAACGATAGCATGACGATAACGTTGATGATGATAATGATGAGAATGATGACGATGATGATGATGATGATGATGATGATGATGATGATGATGATGATGATGATGATGAAGGTGATGATGATGATGATGATGAGTAATGAGTGATGAATGATGAATGATGAGTGATGAGTGATGAGTGGGTGATGATGTAGGTGCGTTCTGATTATGGTTCCTGCGCGGGGTGTCCAGAGAAAACAAGAACCCCACTTTGGATGTGGGGAAAAAGAACCAAAGCCAAAATCGAGAGGGTCTAGCACGCCAGGCACCCGTGCGATGAATCGACAGGGGGCGACGGATTGAATGGCCTTCGGCCCATCCCGCCACCGTGCTTGGGTTGTGGGTAAGAAGCCTATTGGATGTTCGTTGGGATCTCGTGGGAGGCCTCTCGGGGGACTCTTTGAGGCAGTTTGAAGGCCTCCTGGGGGCCGTTTCGGGGCCTCTTGGGGCTTCTTGGAGGCCTCTTAGGGGCCTCTTGGGGCCTCCTTGGCGCCTCTCGGGGCCTTCTGGGAGCTCCTTGGGGCAGAAGGCTCGGATTTTCGGTTTGTGTTCCCTTTCTTGGGCCCCTTTTTGGGGCCGCCTTGGGACCCTATTCTGCCGTCTTGGGCGCCTCTTTGGCCGTCTTGGAGCGCTCTGAGGCCCTCTTGGAGCCCTCTTGGAGGCCTCTTGGACCGTTTTGGGTGGTCTTGGGGGCTTCTTGGGCCGTATTGGAGGGTCAGAAAGCCGAAAAGGCGAGAACGCCAAATTCCATCAAAAACCAAGGAAAAACTACGATAATTGCCTCATGGAGCCCTCTTGGGATGCCTCTTGGAAGCCTCTTGGGTCGCCTTGGCGGCGTCTGGGGCCGATCTTCGGGCGTCTCCGGGGCCCTCTTGGACCGTCTTGGAGGCCGCTCGGGACCCTCTTGGCCCGTCTCTGCGCCCTCCTGGAAAAGATCATGCGAGAACACTTCCCAGAGACCAGGGGGCACGCGACAAGCCCCAAGATGTTTCGGGTGTTTGGGTCCAGCGTGCTCGCAGCTGATCCTCAGTTGCTATCATGTTCGTGGCCCTCTAGAGATGTTCGGGTAACGCGTGCACCGAAGAGGCCCTGTAAGCTAAACAAGTTAAAGGTGCGCTGGTTCCAGCTGAAAAGCACAGCTCCTCGCCGAACACAAGTTGCACAGGCTTACCGTAGATTGCTGCCCATCGCACCTCGCCCGGATCCGCATCTCGCACTAGTTTGTTGTTGCTTTTGTCCCACCCAATTTGGGTAATTGTCTCCATCGATGTCAGCCACGATGAGCGATGGCAAGCTTCGCAGTGGATCGTTCTGGGGTGTCTCCCTCGTGTCCCACCGGGAAACATAACGATGGTAGCGGCGGTGTTGTGGTGGTGGTGATAGTGGTGTTGTGCGTTTCCGTGTTGTTGGGCTCCTCTTGCCGAGGCAGGACGTCGCCGGTCTTGGGCAGACGGCCTCAGCGATCTCCGCCGCGGTTGTTGTACGGCTCCCCGTCAGTGTCCCGCTGGACCGCGCAGCAGTTGGAGGCGCGGGTGCACAGTCGGGCGGGGAGGAAGGAGGCGAGGGGGGTCGGGCGGGGAGGCAGAAGGCGACACGCAGGCGCAGAGCAGAAGAGGGGACTCTTGGAGGCAAGAAGAATACAGGGTGTGGGAAGAGGTGAAGAAGGACCAGATGCAGAGACAGGAGGAGGGCGGGTGCGAGGGGAAGGCCGATCGAAGACGCCTACGTCGAACTACCGCCGCCCCATGCTCTAGGAAACGCCGTAGTGCCCAAACGGTGGGCCAAAGGCTGGCCAAGCAATTGGACCATGTGCTCCCCCAGCCACTGCGGAAGCTCCTGGGAAGGTTCGTGTGGAGAACTCATGGATACTTGTTGGGGCCTTCTTGGTGACTCATTGGGGTGCTTCGCGGGAGCCTCTTGGGGACTTCTGATTCGCCTATTGGGGACTTCTTGGGGTTTCTTAGAGAATCTTGGGGGCCGCCTGGGCCGTCTTGGGGAGAGCATGCTATGCATGGAATGAAGTCAGTGATAAGATGAACGATGAGGCTATGATGCCTCTATTGATTTTGAGCCGGCTAGGATGCCCTGTCGAGCCCACCCCGTCCCGCTTTCAGGTCGCACCCCTTGTGATGGTGGGATGGGAAGACGGGCCGCCACCCCCGGCACTGCGCGTACGCTGCCAGGTCCGTGGCGATTGCCCCCCGCGGCCCCTATGATGGGAGCTGCGGAGGGCGTGAGGCCTTATGGCGGTCCTCAGAAAGTTTGTTGGATTTTATGATGGCGTTCGCCGCGCGGAAGACGGCACAAGTATTGCGAGGAGGCGGAAGCCGGCGGTAGTCACAGTGCGCCTTCAGAAACCTTTGCCCCCGTAGAAGCCTAGCAAGGTAGTCGTTCTTCTTGGGTACGGCGGTATCCCACCTAGCTAAGTCCCTCTTAATACCACAAAATTGAGTAAGCAAGGTCAAAATCCCACCCATTGAAAATAGGGTAAACCAAAATCCCGGGCCCTTGAGGGATCCCGCCGTGTTGGAATCGGTTGGACGCAAGTTGGGGTTCAGAAAGCTCACGGACTGCTGTGCGGGGCATCTTGATACCAGCTGCAAGCAATGCGTGCGCCGTCCTGCGCCGCGGACCCCTCGTCATGGCCTCTTGAAGCCATGCTGGGCCATCTTGAGATCAACTTCACATGATATGCAGGTCGCGCGACTACCCACTGCGTCGACGTGCGAACGATGTTGGCTGCATCTTGGAATTGTTGTCAGATCGTTGTCTGATCGCACTCGCGTCATGTTTGGATTGTGCGGGCGTCGCTCGGTCAGTTTGGAGTCGCCCTTGATGTGCCTGGGTCCATCTTCTGGCCTTGTGGCCTTCTCGGCATCGCCCGCTGCTATCAGACGGGTCATCGCATAAGTAGCTTGAGACTCTCAAGATGCCCTATCGGGATCATGTTGGACCATGGTGGCATCTCAGTTTCGCTTGCAGGTCATCGTCGGTGGCCTGGGGCTCTAGTGATACCACTTTGGGGTTATGAGGTCACGCGGTCATTGCGTGCACGTGTGCATACTTCCCCGTGAGATTGTCCAAGGAAATGTTTGTTGAAGCCATGTGTGGCGGTCCTCACTGGTAAGGTCTATGATTGTCCTCACTGCTGGGGGGGAAGAAACAATACTTGAGAAGGGCAGTGAGCGAAACTAAAACCACCGTCCAAACCCAAGCACGAGAGAACCCACGATGAAAAGGAGCGGGCGTCCACAGGCGGGGAGACCTCGCGGCGTCACGCCCCTGTCGAACACCTTGCTCTTATCCCCCAGGGCAGCCCTGTGAGAGGCAGCACAAGCCCCACGCACACGCACCCCCGCACTCGTGCAGCTACGCCCCCACTCGAACTGGTAGTCCCAGTCGTGGTCGTCGTCGTCGCCGAAGTCGCGGTCCTCGACGTATGTCGTCGGTGCTAGGATCGTGGCGATGTGCCCCCGCAGCCCCTATGATGGAAGCTGCGGAGGGTGTGAGACCTTATGGCGGTCCTCAATGGGAAGGCCGATGAACATCCTTACCGGTGGGAGGGAAGAAGGATACCTGAAAAAGGACTTTAAGAAAAGCGAGAACCACCGTCAAAACCCAAACACGAGAGAACCCACGATCAAAAGGAGCGGGCGGTCCACAGGCGGGGAGTCACGCCGTACCCGCCGACATCTCGCGGCGTCACGTCCCCGTCGAACACTTCGCTCCTCTTCCCCCCGGGAAGCCGTCTTAAGAGGCAGCACGAATGTCTCGGACGCATGCCCCCGCACTCGTGTGGCTGCGTCCACTCGCACTGATAGTCACAGTCGTGGCCGGCATCGTCGCTGAAGTCGTTGGTGTCAGGTTCGTTGGGATTTGCCCCCGTAGCTCCTATGATGGGTGCTGCGGAGGGTGTGAGGCATCATGGCAGCCCACACTGGCAAGACCTGTGATGGTCGTCCTTCTTCCCAAAACGAGCCCTTGTCTGGTGGCTTCGTATTGGGTGCGAGGTCCCGCTCGCGGTCCATCAGGGGAGAGCATGCTACGCATGGAATGAAGTCAATGGTAAGATGATTATTTCGATCTTGTGCCAGCTATGATACCCACTCGCGCCTACCCCGTCCCGTCTTCAGGGACTTCGCATCCCCTTATGATGGTGGGATGGGAAGACGGGCCGCAACCCCCAGCACTGCACGTACGGTGCCAGGTTCGTGGGGATGGGCCCCCCGCGGCCCCTATGATGGAAGCTGCGGAGGGCGTGAGGCCGTATGGTGGTCCTCACTGGTAAGGCCGATGACGGTCCTCACCGGTTAGGGGGAAGAAGGATGCCTGAAAAGGGCCGCATTAAAAACGAAAACCACCGTCCAAACCTAAGCACGAGAGAACCCACGATCAAAGGAGCGGGCGGTCCACAGGCGAGGAGTGACGCCGCACCCGCCGCCACCTCGCGGGCACCGTTGGGGCACTTTCGAATTGTCTTGGGCCCATCTTCGGGGCCTGATGGGGGCTTCTTTGACGACTCTGGGGCCGTCTTTGGTTGTCAGAAGCCCGATATTGCGAGAACGCGACACTGGATTCAACACCTGAAGGAAATCGGCATCTCAAAGCGGTCGTGGGCCGTACTGGGGGCCTCTTGGGCCGCCTTGAGGCTATCTGGGGCCGTCGTCCGTCTTGATGCCATTGTGGAGACCATCGTGGGCCAACTGAGGCATCTTCGAGACGGAATTCCCACGTATCAGAATCCTTTGGGGTGGTTTGCGCTGGCTTCCGGGTGGCTGGCGGGATGCGCCGAAGATGATTGCGAACCTTTCGGAGTGGCCAAGGAGAGCGGTAAGGTTCAGCACGCCAAGCGCCCTTCCGGCAGGTTGCGGGGGCGGCGGATGTCGAAGACGCCTACGACGAGTCACCACAGCCCCCTGCCTTCTCTGGAAAAACTTGCGGCCGAACGTTGGGCCGAAAGTCAGCCAAGTAAATAGAGCACGCGTTCCACCAGCCGTGGCGGAAATCCTTGGGGGCGCACGTGGGGCGGGACGAGGGAGAGGAGGAGGACCAGAGTAACTGCAGGATGCATGAGCAAGACAGTCCACACTCCCGCCACGAATCCCCTCCTCAAACGACTCTACAAGCGTTCCGGTACACTACGAACAAACGCAATCTTCAAAAGCGAGCATCTTTTGAACCTGCCGTTCAGGCAAAAGCGCCGTTTTGAGGAGGAATTTCTTGGCATCGGCCAAGCCACTTAGTTTCGACCACAAATGGATGATCATAAAGTTCGGCGAAGTGCCCAGCGGGAAGTCCATTTTGAAAAGGGGTCGCCTCTTATCCGTGCACGTGTTGCGCAAATGTTTCGTGCTCAGAGCTAGGAATTCTGAAGCCAGGGCCCAAATTTTAAAAGAAACCACACTCGACCCGTGCAGCTGCTACATCTTTGCAGGCTTGTGGCCGTTAACGCTGGGCAAACATCAAGCGAGAGCCCACTTCCGAAAAGAAATCGCCCTCCATCCTTGCACATGTTGCAAAAATGTGAGACGAATGTGCGCAGCGCTCTGGCGATCGAAAAGGTATGGTCCCCCATCCTTGCAACCGATGCTAGCTTTCAAGACGAAGTTTCGCATTGCAGAGGCGAGAGCCCAATTTGGGAAACATTCCACCCTCCAGGTGTGCAAATACTGAAAATTCCAGCTTTAGTATGAAAAGTGATGAGGAGGTCTCAGGCGACACACCCGGATCGCCTTATCGAAACATTTGGTGGTGCGACATCGAGGAGTTATTTATAAGGACACGGGGTGGGAGACAGGAAGGCGGAGAACGCCGAGGAGGAGGAGAAGGATGAGGAGGCCAGCTACGGAACAGCGACGGGGTCCTCTTAGAGCCTCCTGGGGGCACCATGGAGCCAGCTGAGGACAGCTTGGAGCCATATCGGGCTAATTTGGCGCCAACTTGGCCGTCTTCGGTGATACCTTGGGCTGGCTCGGAGGCAATATAGGGCCAACCTGGCCGACTTGGAGGACTTGGGGTCATCTCGAGCCATCTTGGCCGTCTTGGAGGCTATCTCGCACCGACTTGGAGGCCTTTCAGGACCATCTTGGCCGTCTTAGAGGCGTCTTTGGACCATCTTGGAGGCCATCTTGGGCCATGTCGGAGCCAGCTTGGACAGAAAATCCCACCAGATTTACCGTTGACGCGGGGTTTGGTGGGTTAGGCAAGAGGCCACCAAGATCCATTTGGAAGGGCCGAACAGAATTGCAACACATGATACGCCAAGCACCCCTCCTGAACACCACGGGTGCGGTGACCCACGCCACCACCTACCTGCCTTTCGAAAATGCTTGTGCGACAGAACGTTGGGCGCCAAAGTCTGGGCAAGCTATTGGAGTGTGTGTTCCCTGAGCCGTTGTGGAAACCCTTGGGGGAACATTGGGGGGAGGAAGAGAAAGGAGAAGGAGAGGAGGAGGAGGAACACAGCCATCATGCCCCCTGGAAGCGAGATCGCGACCAGGGGAGCCGAAGGGAGGGAGGAGAAGGAGGACAAGGAAGAGGAAGAGGAAGCCTCTTCGTGTCATCTTGGGGACCCCTGGAGAGACAAGAGACGAAAAACGTAATGCAACACAAATCGAAAGCTAGACAGCAGTCTAGCAGCATGGTTCACAGTCTTGTGCCCCCAGGCCGAATCGGCCGGCGGACACCAGGTTCTTCGCACTGTGCTGTGGATAAGGCAGTATAGTTTGGATATACGCCCAGCTGGTTGTGAGCGGGGCAGAAGTGAACATAAGATGGGTTCGATGAGGCTTGATGGCAGGAGTGCGGGTTCTCGGATCTTCCTTTCGAGCCCGGCCAGTTCTCATCATCGCTCAGCGTTGGTCTCGCAATTTGAACACGTCTATGGCCCGGCTCTGTCTTTGCCTCCATGTCTTTCTGTCGTCCTTTCTCTCTCTCGTTTGCTCCCTCTCGTTTGGTGCTCTCCCTCTCTCTCTCTCTCTACATGATCGTATGCATGAATGCGCAAACATATACAAACATATAGATTGTGTGCTGTACATACATATATATGGAGGCATGTATGTGTGTATGGATTATGTATGTATGTATGTACGTATGTATGTATACATGTATGTATGTATGTATATGTGAGTGTATGTATGTATGTATGTATGTGTGTATGTGTGTATGCATGTATGTGTGTATGTGTGTATGTATGTATGTATGTATGTATGTAAGTCTGTATGTATGTATGTTTGTATGTTTGTATGTTTGTATGTATGTATGTGTGTATGTATGTATGTATGTATGTATGTATGCATGTATGTATGTATGTATGTATGTGTGTGTATGTATGTGTGTATGTATGTATGTATGTATGGATGGATGGATGGATGGATCGATGGATGTATGTATGTATGTTTGTATGTATGTATGTATGTATGTATGTGTGTGTTTATGTATGTATGTATGTATGTATGTATGTGTGTATGTATGTACGTGTGTGTATGTATGTATGTGTGTATGTATGTATGTATGTATGTATGTATGCATGCATGTATGTATGTATGTATGTATGTATGTATGTATGTATGTATGTATATGTGTATATGTGTATATGTGTATATGTGTATATGCGCGTGTGCGAGTGCGCCCCCCATCTCTCTATCTCTCTCTCTCTCTCTCCCCCTCTATTCACCCCCCCTCCCCCTCGCCTATCCCGTTGATGGGCGGAAGGAAATTGCTGGACGCCGTGACAATCTCAAGTTCCCGTCTTCTAAGCAATTCGAATTCTGTTCCGTGGAGCTTTCGCACCAGCTCCAAGCGTTTCCCAGCATTCTGGAGATATCCGTGAGACTTCCTTGGCCCGAAATAGTTGTCTAGAAGACGGAATCCCACTTGGACCTACAGAGACTCTTCAGAATTTGCGTCCTACAACGACGTGTCCAGCCTTTCAGTCGCGTCGCGGTGCCGCAGTCTTCACACTGATGATATCCATTCGCAACGGTTGAGCGTCCGCTCCGGAGGTTGACGCTCCCCCTCGCGAAGGAGGCGGTGATCATGGGCCAGTGAGTTCGACGCGGGGCTAGCGGTGCAAGCTCGCCGCACTTGTCAGGTGTCGCTTCCCTTGCGGCGTCAGCACCATGTCTTGCCTGCAAAGGCTGCTGGTGGTAATTGCCGCTGGTGCTCCACTGCCAATGCACTCATGTCTGGGTCGTTCGAGCACGAGGCGGTCGCGGATCCCCTCCCGCCGAAAAGGAGTGCATCGCGCGTAGCGCACGGCTTTCTCGCACTTGGACGCATTCGGAAACCAGTTGAGTTGACGTTATCCAGGGTTGCTCTCCTGCCAGAAGCGTCGGCAGTTGCAGAAACATGTTGCACCACGCTTGATCGTCACAAGCCAGGCCTCCGTGTGGAGGGCACGTATAACGCACAGGCACTGCACGTGGCAAAGTTTTTTGAGCCTCGGCAGCGAGAGGGCTTCGCGAGCATCCATCGCGGGCCCAGAATGGTGATCGTCCAGCTCTGAACTCGTGCTCCAGTGGTCCGTGCTCCCTCGAGGGCGCGAAGTTATTCGCGCTTCGCGCTTCGCGGTCCTCGTTCCTTCTCCCCCTCCTCCTCGTCCTCCTATTCTCCTTCTGGGAGGGCGGCGCGAGAGCGCGAAGTTATTCGCGCTTCGCGCTTCGCGCAGCGCGAAGCGCGAAGTTGGGAGCCCTAGGGCACCGTCATTCACCCCTTTGCCTGAGCATTTGGTGCCAGGCGCTGGCGATTGTGAGCAGGGCTGGCCGGGATTAGCAGGCAGGGGAAGAGGAAGATCCGCGTCTCTCCTTCCATCCCTCTTTCTCTGAGGGAGAGGGTGACAAGGATGAGAGCCTACCTCCTATTGTGTTGTCAGCCCGATCGGCTTCTAGCAAGCGGACTCCGCATTTCGGCCACCAGGGCTTGGCCAGGACGGTTTGATTGAAATGGAGGCGTCGCCATTGAGACATCAGATGCACACATGCACATCGGATGCGATATATGATTGATTACGGTGGGCGATGCAATTTCGCGAAAGGGGATAGTGAGAGCCATGCGGGGTTTGCAACGGAGGGGCGGCTGGATTTGGAGGAGGGTGGTTGCACCAGTTCCACGCGGGGGGCGGAAGCGGACAGCAGGTCGCCGTTAGGTCGGAGGTTACGGGTGGTTCGCGTCTCGTGTTGGGAATAGTTGGTATAGATTCGAACAGGGCTTTTCGGCCGCAGGATCACATATCGCCCCGTGTCCACATTTCCAGCGGCGTGCAAAGTGAGCAGTGAGCAGCAGCGACAAGCGCAGTAGACAGTGTCAAAGATTGAAGGTCAGTGAGGTTAGACGCGAGGGGTCCGAATGTTGAGCTCGTCGTGTGAGCGCGGGGGGGCAGTTGTATGCCCGAAGTGTGCACAGATGCCCGCAGCGAGGGAGCCCCGAAAGAGCCCTAACAGCTACCTTCCGAGGTGTCGATCATGGGTCTGGGGGCGCGCAGGCATGGTTTGTCGTGTGCACCGATGGGGGATGGCAAATGCCCGTGGGCAGGGGACAGGTTGGCCCGTCAACTAGGGGGTATATGGGGGGGCAACTCGAACGGTTAGGCGAGCCGAGGTGCAGGCAAGAGGATGCGCACGCGCTCTTGTGAATGGCGCCGTGCGCTTCGGCGCAACCGCGCGCGCGCGGCAGGCGGAGTTGGCGCAGGAGCCAGCGGCGGAGGAGCCCGAGGGCCAGGAGGAGTGAGGGCACATTCTTACTTCTCGGCCTCCAGCCACCACCCTCCCCCTGTGGTCTCGGCAGCACGGACGGCCCCGGGTGAGAACCTTCGCCCACAGCAATGTGTTATAAACATCTCCCCCGCGCCCTGCCAATACCCCCGGGTGGGAGGGGCCCGTGAGCGAGAGCGAGCGTTTGTGAGCACCCGCAAACTTTTGTGAGCACCTGGCAGCATTTGAAAGAGCTCATGAGTGCGCGTGGGCACATGCAGAAGGACTTGTGCGCATGCAAATACAAAGCTCGCGATGCTCCGAGGGCTGCCGAAGCTTCGAAGCCCTCCAAAAGCCGCAAAGGTCCTTGGGCCCAAAGGCTCCACAGCCTTTCACTAACCCATGCAGCAGGTATGAGCCCCAAGTAAGTCAGCAATCACAGGGAATATCCGTGTTCATTGACGCGTTTCGCTGCCAGCAGAGATGCAGCCGATCACGCTGAACTCCCTTCTGCTGCGGTCACAGCTCCGCCATCGAGGGAGCTGGAAGACAAGGTTTCAGAAGAGCAGCAGCAAGCAACTGTATCCAGCTGCTGCCTGCGGCAAACCCCGCCACCGTGCCTGTGTAACCGCGCAGCATGAAGGAGGCTGAGTGCAGGAACAGTGCAAGTTCGACTCGTAGTCTGCATTGGGGCGGGTCGTGATCACGACCTCGTCTTCGTCCGAGCGGTAGGGAGAGGAGGAAGAGGAGGAGGAGGCGGAGGAGGAGGAGAGGAAGAAAATGAGGATGAGGGGAAGAAGACTTCTTGGGGCTTTCTTGGGGCTTCCTGGGGGCCGCCTGGGAGCTTCCTGAAAGCGTACTGGGGGCCTCTTAGGGGCCTCATGAGGCCTCTTTAGGGGGGGGGGCCTCTTTGGGCCGTCTTTGGGGGACCCTTGGCCCGTCTGACACCTATGGAGGCGGCCTTGGAGAGACTCCCTAGGCCGCGTCGATGCCCTCTTGCAGCGGTTCACGGCCGTATTGGGGCCATCTTTGAAGCCCTTGGGGCGATCTGTGGGTCTTCTTGGGTCGATGTGTGGCCCTCTTGGGGGGCCTCTTGGGCTGTCTCGGAACTAAATTGGAGGCCCATTGAATGTTTAGTGGGCTGTCTTGGGCGGTCGGAAACCCGAACAGGTGAGAACCAAAAAGCACGGAAACTGAAATAGGCAAACTTCTGAAGACTCAATGGTGTTGGTCTCCCCGGGCCTTCCAGGAGGGCCTCTTAGAGACCTCGTAGGCCGTCGTGGAGGCTTTTGTTGATCTGCCTTGAGGCTGCCTCGGGAACGTAGTGAGCCTCCTTGGGCCATCGTGGGCCATCGTGGCATCATGTGGTCGTCCTTTTGAGAGTCGCCATGGAGGCCATGAGACCCCCAAGGAGGCCTCAAGACAGATCAAGAGGCCCTCAAGACGGCCAAGGGTCTTCAAGAGGCTCCTTCTGGAGAGCCCGGAGGCCGAAAATCTTGATTGTCCTCGGTTGTTGGAGGATTGTGAGGTTCTGACATGTTCGGGTTTCCAGCCGCCCAAGATAACCCAAGAGGCCTCTCTGGGCAGTCTTGTTGCCCCTGTGGAGCGATTCAAGGCCGTGTTGGGGCCCTCTTTGGAAGCCCTCTGGGCTATCTTTGAGTCCTCTTGGACCGACTTGGGGCCCTCTTGGGGGCCTCTTGGGCTGCCTCTTGAAGGCCTCTTGGGCCATCTTGGGTCGTCGGAAAACCGAATCGCGCCACAAAAGGATGTTGAGGGGTTCGTGGGACCAATGGGGCAAACATTATAGCAACATGAAAGGAAGGGCCATCGCAAAAAGTACGTGCGAAAAAAAACGGCAGACGAAGTCAAGGAGGAGGAGCAGCAGGGAGGAAGACGACGGCTGTTCAGGAAGCACGTTTGTCCCTGGAGGAGTGGAAGGGGCACGAAACCTGATAGATATTATGGTTGTCGAATCCCCTCCTCGCTCAGGCGGTGCCTCCCTGGAGGAGTGGGAGTGGCACGAAACCTGATAAATAACATTGTTTTCGAATTCCCTCCTCGCTCAGGCGGGGCCTCCCTGGAGGAGTGGAAGGGGCACGAAACCTGATAAATAACATTGTTTGTTGAATACCTTCCTCGCGCAAGGGGGCCTCCCTGGAGGAGTGGGAGGGGCACGAAAATTCAAAAAATAGCCTGACGAAGTACCCAACCATAAGCAGTTGTGGATACCGCATTCTGGGTCCATCGTTCTAGAAGGCCTTCGGTGGGGCTTCCTATGGGGCCACGACCCGTGTGAGGGTGTACGCCAGTACGCTCTCCGCACATCCCACATGTACCTTGCGAACCGCTGATGCAGAAAGCTTGCATCTTACTGCGATCGGCTCGCACGTCAAGGCCAAGCCGCCACCATTAAATTCAACCGCTGGCAAATGAACCGTAACGTATGCTGGCATGGCCATCTCGTCGACGTTCTTCGTGTAGGTCTTGACAAGGTTGTCTTGGTCAGACTGGTCCGACAACAATGGGTCTTGCGAGTTCATGTACTCCCATATCGCTATGTCAGATGCAGCGCCTCGGAGGGTTTTCAAATCTTTTTATAGAAAGAACAGGAAGAATTTAAGAATATTAATAATAATAATAATAAGATTGATAGGACTTGTAATAATGATAATAACAATGTATGTATATATGTTAGTAAGAGTGCTAACAATTCATAAATATAAAACAAAAACACAACAAAAGAAGAAAAAACTATACAATTATATATATATAATTATATGTAAATTTATGTGTTTTAAGAAAATGGGCGAAGGGGGCGTTCTTGTTCGTTGGGTTCGGGATGCCGACAAACTGCATGAGCCTCTTGTCCATCTGGGATACCTCGATGAACGCAACACCTCCGCTATGGACAATAGTCCGCGGTATCCACGGCTCCTTGAGCCCCCCGCCGCCCTCGATCACCGTGCGCATGGAAACAGACACCGGCATGCAGACGTGCAGGGCAGCGCGGGCCGCGCGAGACCCCAGCGATTGAGCCAGAACGGCTATGGTGCGTTGCGACGATATCGCAGACTGGCGCGATGCTGCATCGCAGAATGATGCGGTGCGATGGGGTGATGACGCATCGCAGTATGAAGCATTTCAGTATATCTTCGCCATCCAACAACCATGTGCGTTCATATACGGAGGGCGACGCCAACGCCGAGTCCCGGGGCCTTCAAAAATAGATTTGGGATGCAAAATTGTCTTTCGGGGGAGATCCCCGATTTTGCGACGGCCTTACGGCCGGCGCAGGCGACCCTCAAGGGGGACGACGACGACGGCGGCAACGACGACGACGCTGACGTGAATTAGAGTCCTCAGGAACGTTTTTGGCAGTGTCTTCGGAGCCCTCTAGGGAGCATCTGGGGAGCAATCTTGGGGTCTCTTGGGAGCCTCTTAGGGGCCTCTTGGGGGCCTCTTGCGGGCCTCTTGGGGCTTCCTGGGGCCTCTTGGGGGCCTCTTGGGGCCTCCTGAGTATTTCTCGGGGTCTCCTGGGAGCCCATCAGAGCCGAGGACTCGAAATGTCCATTCGGGTCCCCCGTCTGGGCACCATCTTTGAAGCAATCTTGA